CGGGGCGGGCACAAACCGCGGCCGCGCTGCCATTGGATCCCAAGAGCTTAGGGCCGGCCAATGGGGGCTTCCCCCAAAATCCGACCCGGGGTTGTGCGCCCCTCCCGGCCCCCCCCCCTTCTCCTCCTCTTCCTTCATCCCCATCCCCCTCCGGGCCGGGTACCGCGGGCCGCCCCCGGAGCCGGGATTGCCGCCAGCTGGGGCCGGGCCGGGCTGGGGGGCCCCGAGCCTCCCTCTTCCCTCCGCTCCCCGCAGCCGGGTAGAAACATGACTCCGTGTCCCCAGGAGAGCTGCGGGGGGTTGGAGGGGGTGGGGGGAGAGGAAAAGCTGGAAGCGCACAAACAAATGTCGCGCATCGCCCTGGAGCGCTTCCCTGGCCCGAGGCCAACGTAGCGCTGCGTCCGTCCCGAGTGGCTGCGGGGACGGCACGAAACGGAGAGGGCGGATAACGGGGAGGGCAGATAACGGGGAGAGGGGACGCGGCGGCACATCCGTGGCATTCCGGTGGGAGATCCCCGATGGGGGAGCGGCGGGACGCCCTCAGCTTGTCCCCGCGGCGGAGGTGGGGCAGCGTCACTGGGAGAACCCGCGTCCTGCACCCAGCTCTCACCCGCGGGGATCCCAGAGCTTTGGGGTGACTTCGGGCTGCATCCCGACCCGCCGTCGGCACCCGGAGGGGAACGCCTAGCCTTGGCCATGGAAAACCATTAAGGTAGTGAGCAGGGCCAGCTGGATGAGCTCCACAGCCTTCCAGCAGGTGCCAAGCGGAGGCTTCTCCCCAAGCTCCCGTGCACCCAGGATACACAAGCAACTCCCAGAGGGGCAGCAGACCCACAGCCCTTCCCCTTCCTGCATCCCCAGTCCTGCAGTGGGGTCGAATTTAGCCTCGTCCCCCCCCAAGACCCACAGGGGATGGTTTGCAGCTGGTGTCCACAGCTGTTTCACATTTGGCTACTGATGTGTTTTTAAGGAGAAAATTGAGTTAGGACCTCAGTCCTAGGCTCTCTAACCCCACATGGAGACACAGCCATTTTCTGGAATGAATGGAAACTGGCAAGTGGAACATTTGGGCGCAGCTGGCAGTTCTGCTCTCTGAAAGTCCACTTTTGTTTGTATGATGAACTTTTCACAGGGGAAAATGGCTGCAGCTGGCACCAGGATGTCCCCACCTGTGCCTCTGTCCCATGGCTAGGGATGTCCTGTGTTTAGGGGCCCGTGGCCCTCAGGGCCTCTCTGTTGGGGCAGAGGCCTTCCCCCATAGTCCTTAGGATGCTAAAAAGGGCTTTTCTTCTGCCCCCTTGGTAAAACCAGCACCGCTTGTTTGGGAACTCCTATGGATAAAAAAGAGGCAGCTGGAAACAGCTGGAGCTGTGCCTTCATCCTGGGAGGGGAGCCCCAGCTGGGGTGTCCTTCCCTGCCTCAGTGGGGATGGGGATAGGATGAGGATGAGGGTGGGCTGGAGTTGGGGATGGGATAAGAGGGATGGGGATGGAGGCGGGGATGGGGATAGGGATGAGGTGGGGATGAGGATGGGATGGGAATGGGATAGAGTTGGGAACAGGATAAAAAATAGAGACAGAGAGAGGGATGGGGATGAAGATGAGGAAGAGATGGAGTTGGGGATGGGAAACAAGGGATGGGAACAGGATTGTGAATGAGGATGGAGATAAGCTGTGGACAGGGATGGAGATGATCTGCTCACACCCATGTCACATTGTGGGGAAGCAGATACTCGTGGTGACTGATCCCTCGGTGGGGGGTTAGCACTTCCCATAGCCTGGGCATGAAAAAGAACCAAGCAGCCACTGCCTTGTGCAGAACCAGATGTGCTGAGGCTGGAGGAGGCTCTGCAGGAAGGGGCTGGGTCCCATCACATCCACCCAACCTCCCTCTGCCCTACCAGCACTGCCTGGGGACTGAGGAAGGGGAAGGGGAAGGGCTGGGGAAGGCCAGGCTGGGGGCTGTGGGGCAGGAAATCCCAGTAATCCCAGTAAGTTGAGGCCATGGGGTGTGCGGAGAGGAGGGAGCGGCAGGAAACGCGCAGCTCTGCTGGGAATCACAGCTCTGTCCCTGCAGCCACAGCGATGCCACTCGTATGGGATGAATTGGGATGATAGCACAGGATCCGGGTGGAAGAGCTCTCAGAGCATCTTTCCTCCAGGCCACGCCATGAGCTGTGAGTTCTGCTTTGCCCCAGCTGTGCCTCCACCCATCGAGATGCCCAGCATCTCTCGCTGATTCGGGTCTTGCTGCTTAGAACTGCACTCATCTCATAACTCAGCTTCGTTGCTCCTGTGCTGCCAGGACCCTCAGCACCACCAAAGATTCCTACCAACACCAACAAGGACCCCAGCATCACCAGGGCCCCCACCAGCAGCAAGCACCCCTACCAGCACTGGCACAGGCTGCCCAAGGAGGCTGTGGATGCCCCATCCCTGCAGGCATTCAAGGCCAGGCTGGATGTGGCTCTGGGCAGCCTGGGCTGCTGGTTGGCGACCTGCACACAGCAGGGGTTGGAGCTGGATGAGCACTGTGCTCCTGTGCAACCCAGGCCATGCTGTGATGCTGTGATTCTATAATCCCCAGCATCACTGGGACCCCCAGCAGTACCAGGACAGCCCTGCCCCACTTACAGCCCCTCCTGGCTGTCTGCATGCTGGAGGTTTCCACCCACACCTCCAGCTGTTCCTCTATGCAGGATGAAACCCACGTGCTCCACCTCATCCCTGGGCACTGAGGGACAGGTTAACTGGGAACACACAGTGACCACAACGGGTTTTAAAATGTATTTTAAGGCATAAAAATAGATAAAAGCTTTTTATTTTTTATTACTTCCACCTTTTGGGCTCTCCTTCTTTCTCCTTCCTTCCTTCCTTCCTTCCTTCCTCTCTCTGAACACCGAGGCTGCAGCTGCCGGATGAGCACCACAAGGTTATCCCTAGCCCTTATTTGGTCCTGCAAACACCCCACCAGAGGGGTTCCAGGTGCTGAGCAGAGCAGCCTGGATGGCTTTGCACTCAAGATTTGTGCGTGCAGCTTTTGGGAACGGAGCAGGAGAAAATCAGCACGTTGGTGTGGCCGTGCCCTGCCATCCCAGCGGGTGTGCATTGCACTGCAGTGAGAAATGCTGGCTGTTTTTACCCCCCTGGACCCTCTCCTGCAGCTTTGGGATCCTATTCCAAGGCATTCACATCCCAAACCGTGCAGAATGGGGCTGCACCCTGGGATGCACCCTTTGGGTATGGCACCCCGTGCCCAAACAGCCCCAAACCACAGCTGGCAGCCCTCAGGATGTCCCCAAACCCCCAGTCCATCCCAGCACCTCCTTGGGACTCCGAGCCCGTCTCCAGCCTCGCAACCCGCCTCCCTCCGTGCAATGAGCGGCTTCCTGCCTTTGTCTCCCCTCTCACCGAGCAAATCTGCCTTTAGCCACATTTTCCTGGCTGCGGTGCCACCGCATTGTCCCCGAGCTGCTGTCCCTGAGTGCTGGCAGGGCTCAGTACAGCCCTGCGTGGGAATGCAGGGAAAAGGAAGAGAGGAGAGGAGAGGAGAGGAGAGGAGAGGAGAGGAGAGGAGAGGAGAGGAGAGGAGAGGAGAGGAGAGGAGAGGAGAGGAGAGGAGAGGAGAGGAGAGGAGAGGAGAGGAGAGGAGAGGAGAGGAGAGGAGAGGAGAGGAGAGGAGAGGAGAGGAGAGGAGAGGAGAGGAGAGGAGAGGAGAGGAGAGGAGAGGAGAGGAGAGGAGAGGAGAGGAGAGGAGAGGAGAGGAGAGGAGAGGAGAGAAAAGAAAACCAAAAGCAAAAAGGGGGGGAAAGGAAAAAAGAAAATAAGAGGAAAGGGGAGGGGGGGAAAGGGGGGGGGGGAGAGAAAATAAAAAGAAGAAAAACGGAAAAAAAGGAGAGAAAAAAAAAAAGGCAGAGGAAGAAGAGCCGCGCGGGGCGGTGCCGGCGCTGTGCCTGCGCCCTCGCGGCGCTGCTGCCCCCTGCTGCCCGCGCACGGACACACGGCCACGGGGACACACGGCCACATCCGCACACTCGGCGTCCCCGACCCCAAACAGCCCTTCGGAGCTCCCCCCGCCTGGCTCACCCGTGGCTCAGGGAGCAGCGGTGCGGTCACCGAAGCCACGGGGACGCGAGGACCGGAGGCGCACGGGGACGCCCGCATGGCTGGGAATTGGGATGGGGGGCACAGGGACCCCCGGAGCCGCTCCCAGTTTGCGCTGTGGGCTCTGGGACGATGCTCGGAGCGTCACCGCAGCGAGGTGAGCTGAGCACGAGCAGCATTCCTGCCCCAAGCAAAGAGCGTGCGGGGAGCAGAGGGCTGCGTGACGCTCTCGGCTGCGGAGCAGCAGTGGGGATGCTTCGTGCTCGCCCCGTCCCGGCAATGTTTGCTCAATGCGAGCATCCAACGTGCTGCCAACACGGCTGCTCAGCGTCCAACCGCTGCCAGAAGCCTCCCGGCAGATGGGCTCTGATGCGGGATATTTGGAGACCGAGAAAACAATCCCAAAGTGGGAGGACGAGAAATCGCCGATGGGGAGAAAAGGGAGGCGGATCCCCCGAGCTCCCTTTGGGACGGGCAGAAGGGTCGATGTGAGTCTTGGAACCAACCCCGACATTCCTCCCGGATGCTCTGAGTTTTTCCAGTTCATTTGGCTTTGGGTTTTTGTGGCGTGCCGCGATTTTCTTCCGCTTTGGGTTGTTTTCATCCTTCTTTTTTTTTTTTCCCCCTATTTCTCCACCAGGAATGCAGGGCCACATCGGAAGCGTGACAAAGAGCAGAGCTTCGTCATCGGTGGTGATGGGGCTTTCTCAAAACCGTTCCCTCCCCAAACAGCTGCTGTCACAATGATTGCACCCAAACAGCTAAAATAGAGCATCTGGCTGCGTGCTGCCCTTGGGGAGGGAGATGGGATGAGTCTGAGGTTGTGATAATGGGATGGGATGGGATGGGATGGGATGGGATGGGATGGGATGGGATGGGATGGGATGGGATGGGATGGGATGGGATGGGGTGGGATGGGATGGGATGGGATGGCATGGCATGGCATGGGATGGGATGGCATGGCATGGCATGGCATGGGAGGCAACACGATCCCAAAAAATCACCTCTCCAACCCAGATAGAGGCAGTCCCCATCGCTGTCCCACTTCTGGTGCTGTGTCCCCATGTCCTTTAGGGTGGTGCCTACTCTGGAAAGCGCTGTGTTACATCGAGGTTTCTCTTCCTCCTTTCTTCCCAAGTGAGAAATTTGTGCTGAGTTTGGCTCTGTCCATCCGGTGGGGAACTTCTCAGCAGTGACAGGGTGACACTTGGGCCACCCGAGGGCTGTGCTGCTCCTGGTGACGTGCCTGTCATCAGAAGGGACAGCAGTGCTGGGCTGATGCCACCATCCCGCAGCCAAGCCAAACACTGACGCGTGTCCATCTACAAGAGCTGAGCATTCCAAGGCTGGGGGACCAGGAGGAAGGGCTGCCACCATAAATCAGTGTTCCACGCTGTGTTCCTTCACAAGCCATGCTCTGCACTGGATCCTCTGCTCTCTGGATCCTCTGCTCTTCATCCCAGAGGGGCTGATGGCTGAAGGCAGGTCCCAGTCCCATGAGGAATGCACTCACTGTCAGCACGCAGTGCTCACTCCAGCTCACCGCCTCTCCCAGCCCTGCTGTCAGAGCGATGCTTTCCTGTGCTGCACCACAGCGGGGGCTGAGAGCAAACGATGCACACTGGTGCTCATTCACCATCACGTGCACACTGGAAGATGTGTGTTGCTGTGGCCAGGAAGCGCTGCTCTGCTCGGAAGAGGTGCTGTGGGGTTTCTGCCCTATGGGGGTGGCTGCGTGCTGCTGGAGGGGCTGGATGCCACCGTGGGGTCTGAGCAGCAGTAGCACCCCATGGCAGCAGGTGGGGTGGGAAAGGTGGGGGTAGGGGAGAAGGGGTGAGGGCAGGAGCTGTGCTTACCCCAGTGGAGTGACTGCGCTCAGCCCTACACCCATAATTTCCCATATTACCCTAGGGCTCAGCCATAACCCACTACCCATCACGCCCAAGGGACTCAGCTCACGTCCTCCACCCCATTGCTACCCCAGGAGCTCAGCCCCACATCCCTTACCTGTGACCTCCCAGGAACTCCGCTTTCCTCTGCTCTGTAACCCCTCAGGACTCAGCTCTGACACGGTTACCTACAAACCCCTTCCTAGGACTCCCCTCCTGTCCTCCACCCCATCAATCATCCCAGGACTATGTCGTCCTCACCTGCAATCCCCCAGGAGCACAACCCCTGTCCTCTACCCCATAAACCTCCCAGCAGCTCAGCCCCAATTCTCTACCCATAACTCCAGCGGGACTCGGCTCTGCCGCAACACCCCCGGGATTCATCTCTGCCCCCTTACCGACAACCCGCCCAGGATGCAGCCCACGGTCCTTTACCCCACAGCCCCCCCAGGATCTCTGCCCTGACCCCCTTCACCCTACAACCCCTGCGACTCGTCTCTGCCCCCCCCCCCCCCCCCCCTACCTACAACCCCCCTAGGACTCACCCCTTGCCCTCCACCCCGTCCCCAGAAGAGCTCAGCCCTCCGTCCTCCCCAGCCGCAGGGCTCGGCGATCCTCACGCCGCTCCCCCAGCTCGGGATCCTACACCGCAACCCCGGTCCCACCCCGCCTCCCCCGGCCGGGTGCAGGCAGCGCCCGCCCCGCTCCCCGTCCCCTCCCGCCGCTCCTCCCGGGGCGTTCCGCGCGGCGGTGCCGCACAGCGGGCGGATGGCGGCCGATGGGTACCGCTGCCGGGAGAGCCGCTTCATCGCCAGCGGGCAGTCGGTGGTGCCCAGCTCGGCTCTGTTCGCCGCCGGCCTGCTGGGCAACGTGCTGGCTTTGCTCCTCTTGGGGCAGCACCGACGGCGCTCCCGCTCCGCCGCCGGCCGCGCTCCGCGGGTCTCCGCCTTCTACGTGCTGGTGAGCGGGCTGGCGGTGACCGACCTGCTGGGCAAGTGCCTGATCAGCCCCATCGTGCTGGCCGCCTACGCCTACAACCGCAGCCTGAGCGAGCTGGGAGCGGGCGGCCGCGGGGAAAGCGAGCCGGGAGCGCTGTGCCAACTCTTCGCCTTCCTGATGGCGTTCTTCGGGCTGGCCCCCACCCTGCTGCTGCTGGCCATGGCCACCGAGTGCTGGCTGTCTCTGGGCCACCCGTACTTCTACCGGCGGCACGTCACCCGGCGCCGGGGAGCGATGCTGTGCGCGCTGGGCGCGACTCTGTGCGCCCTGTTCTGCGCGCTGCCGCTGCTGGGCTTCGGCGCTCCCATGCAGTACTGCCCCGGGACGTGGTGCTTCATCCGCATGGCGGGCGGCGGGCCGAGCCAGCTCGGCTTCCCCGTGCTGTACGCCAGCGTGCTGGGCGTGCTGGTGTTGGCCATCGCGGCTTGCAACGTGTGCAGCATGCGGCAGCTGTACGGCATGGCCCGCAGGCAGCCCCGGCGCGGAGCGCAGCCCCCCGGCCCGGCAGCGCCGCGCATGGAGGAGCTCGACCACCTGGTGCTGCTGGGGCTCATGACGGCTCTCTTCACCGTCTGCTCGCTGCCGCTCATCGTGAGTACGCTGCGCGTCCCTCCCCCCCTCACCTCCCCGGACCCCCCCGCTTCATCGCTTCCGTTGCCCCGGCGCTGCTGTGCCCCCCCGACGTGAAACCCCTTTCGTCCAGTTTGGGTTCAGCCGCCTCCCTCAACCCCCAGGGTGTCCCCTTGGCGCAGCCCCGTCCCCACTTGCTGCAGGGTCACGTTGCGTCCTCGCCCTTTGGCGCAGCTCGGTGCCTGGAGTGGGGGGGGGGGGGGGTCGTGCCGCTGCTTTGCCCCCCAGCACCGCAATGCACACCTCAAGGTATCGGGGGGTTCCTTGCTATACTGCCTCCACTGTTACCCTGTCCCAGAGGGTTGGGTTGTTGCTTTATCCCCTTGGAATAAACCCCCCCCATACCATCTCTCTGTCTCGTTGGTGCCAAGGAAGGGGGGGGGCTCAGCTCGTTGCTTTAATCCCTTTTAATGACCCCCCCCCATCGTCCCCAGCCCAGCGTTGTCAGAAGGAGTGAGGTCCTTGCTTTAACCTCCTTGGAACAACCCCCCCTCCCCGTTCCACCATCCCATCCTAGAGGGTCAGGTTACTGTGTAGCCCCCCCCCCTCTGAAAACCCCCAGCATCACTTCGTGTCCGATGCACTCCTTCAGTGCTTTCACTTCTATGGAATAAAACCCCATTACCTCACCCCCCCACACCCCATCCCAGAGGTGCCAAGTTGGGATCAAGTCATAACTTTCACCACTTTGGAATAACGCCCCCCCCCCCCCCCCCATCACCACCACCTCGCTTTGGAGGAGGAGGTCAGGTTATCCCGTGGCTACCAGACCGTCCCTGGGCAGTCCAGTCACTGCTTTAGCCCCTTTTTAACAACCCCCCCATCATCCTCATCCTGTCCCAGACGTGCTGGGGAGGCGACCTCATTGCTTTCACCCCTTGAGATACCTCCCCCTGCTTTGTGCATCCCGGGGGGTCACTGTGTCACTCCCATCGATGCACCCTCCCCCCTGCTGCCCCCTATTCCCCCCCATCCCGGAGGCATTGGGTCCCTTCCAACCACACCTGGGGAAACCAGTCCCCGAATATTTCCCTTTGTTCTTTCACGGGGTTACGGGTGTCCCACAGGTGGGGTGGCCCAGCGTGTCCCCAAGATGTCCCCAGGGAGTCCTTGGGATGTCCCCAAGTTATTCCTGAGCTGCCCCCAAGGCGTCCACTGGGTGTCCCTGAGTTGTGTCCCAGTTGTCCCCAAGCTGTCCTCTGGATATCCCAAAGCTGTCCTCAGATCGTCCACAGGGTGTCTCCAGAGCGTCCCCAAGCCATCCCCAGAGTGCCCCCAAGTTGTCACCAAACTCTTCTGGGGGTGCCCTCAAACTGTCCCCGGAGCGTTCTCAAGCTGTCCCTGAACTGTCCTCAAACTGTCCCCAAGTTGTCCCCAGGCTGTCCCCAAATCCCAGGACGGTTCCCACAGCGCCGCACCTCTCATAGCTGCTTTATTTTTCCCAGGTCCGTGCCTACATGGGGGCGTTCGCCGCCGACTTCAACGAGGACGCCGACCTCAGCGCTCTGCGCTTCCTCTCCGTCAACTCCATCGTGGACCCGTGGGTCTTCATCATCTTCCGCACCTCCGTCTTCCGCCTCTTCGTGCGCCGCCTGTGCCGCCGCCTGGGCTCCCGCCGGGCCACGCTGAAGAGCACGGGGCCGGGGGGGGACGGGCAGTTCTGTCCCCAGGGATGGCGTGGGCCAGGCACCCCGCAGCTCGTCTTCCCCTGAGCGCAGTGCTGGAGGAGCTGGGGGAGCCAGGAGCGAGCCGTCGGCCTCGGGGACTCAGGGGTGACGGCGCCCGGATGGCGACGGAGAGCGGGCGGCGCTGTGCCGCATCCCCGGGATAGGAACCCTGGGGGGTGCCTGGAGAACTGTGAATGCTGCCGTGCAGCGGCGCTTTGCGAGGTGTGGGCAGCACCCGGCGCTGGGGAAGCGTAGGGGTCGTTGGCGTGTGGCTTTGGGGCGGTGCTGTGCCGAGGGGCAGTGCCGTGGGGACGTGCTGGGAGGAGGGATGTGTGCCACCCCGTGCGGAATAAAGTGGTTTGGAGCCCGGTGCCATCACCTCGTGCCTGTGGGTTATCCCTGGGGGCTGCCCTAGGGTGTCCCCAAGCTGTACCCGGGGTGTCCAGCAGTTGTTCCAGGGCTGTACCCAGAATGTTCCTAAGGGGGACCCATGGTGTCCCCACGATGCCCCTGAGATGTCTCATAGCTGTCCCTGAGTCATACACAAGTTGTCCCCAGGATGTCCCCAAGCTGTACCCAGGTTATCCCCAGGGTGTCCCCAAAATATCCCCGGGCTGCCCCTGAGCTGTTCCCAAACTGTCCCCAGGCTGTCCCCACGGTGCCGCAGGGCTCAGGATGGGTGCACCATCCCTGCCCCACCTGAGCTCAGGGCTCAAGGTCCCCCCAGCACTGACGCTGTGTTTGTGCCGCTCAGATGGTGCCAACAGCAATGATTTGAATCCACTATTTATGATCAGCCCGTTAATAAGAGCAGCTACGGAGAGAAAAAGCAGAGCCTTGGATGGATCACCCGGCGCTGCAGCGTGCAAGCAAACCATCATGGCAGTGAGAGCCCCTTTTCCCCTCTGGGTGCTGCCTCCAGTGACAAGCTGAGGACAAAAGATGGCGGCAGCCACCATCCCCATCCACACGGCGTCCTTGGAGCAGACGGAGCCGCACTTCTTCCTGTGTTTATGCAGCCCTGTAAGGTGCAGCCGTGCCCCGCCAGCTCTGCACAGTGTTTACTTTGGTTGTCAAACCGATATTGCGTTTGGAAGAAGAAACCCGTGTGAACGCGGCGCTGCTGGAGGTGACCTGGGGCAGTGTCACATGAACCGTGTCCCCGCTGTCCCCCTGCATCCCCACCCACCCCTCTGCCCCACGGCTGAGCCCGTTCCGTCTCTCCCAGCTCACGCCATCCAGGCACGGCTCTGCCAAAGCTCATTTCCCAGCACTGCTCTCTGTCCTTGTCCCGTTCCACTGCCTGGGCGCATTTTGCAGCCGCTCCCCACGTGTCTGGGCGGGCTGCAGCGCGCAATGCGCGGCCCCACAGTTTCTGTGGGATTCCTGCAGTGCTCCGACAAGCCTGGGGCTTTGCTCCAAGTGGGACAGCCCTGCGAGGCTGCTCCCAGGGAAAGCCATGCCAGCAGCCCCGGGGAAGACATGTGCTCCTTGTTATCCCCGAGATAAACATGGAAGCAGGAGGAGGAAAACAAACGCTTCCCAAGAAATGGACGGGCTGTAGCACCAAGCGCTGCGTTCCTGCTGTGGAGCTCAGGACAAACAAACCAACAAACCCAGCGATTTTCCTGTGATTGCAAAAATATCCCATCAGAGGCAACCGCTGGTCGAGAAGCCCAAAGCCCACATGGGTATTTAAGGCTCCATTAGCGCAAGGAAAACGGGCTCCAGGAGTGCCCAGGCTGTGATGAGGAGCAGCAGTGGGAGGCTGGGAGCAGCCCCTGTGGGAATGCTGCTGCTCGTAATGCTTTGCCCCGTGGGTTGGCGCCGCTCGCCCAGCATTTACCATCTGGCTTTTGAGGTGCTGTGCAGAGCTGAGTTGGACTCAATGATCCGTTGGGTTCTGCCTGGGAACTGAACCAAAGCGGCACATCGGAAGTGAAGGTGCTGTCACAAACCGCAGCTCCCCCAGCCCTGGAGTTTGCCTTCAGCATATTTCCTTGACGAGGTTCCTGTTACCAAAGGGAACTCGAAAAGCGCAGCAATGAAGATGCGCGTGGCAGAAAGCGGCGTGCCCACGGGAAGCTGGTTGGCACCACTGAGCATTGCTGGGTTTCGGGGACCAAAGGACACCGAGGTGACCACTGGGGTATGGATAAGAGGCGTGCCTGAGCCCTGCTTGGGCTGGATCCATGGTTGGATCAGAGCATGGTTGGGTTGGAAGGGACCTCACAGCCCCCCCAGCCCCTCCTCTGCCGTGGGCTGGGTGCTCACCACCAGATCAGGCTGCCCAGGACTCCATCCAGCCCAAGCCATCGTAGAATGGATCGAGTTGGAAGGGACCTTAAAGGTTGTCTGTTTCCATCCTGAGGTGGGGAGAGGTTGGGCTGTTCCCCACAGGATCCCTCCGGCAGTGCATCTCACTGTGCATGTGGGCTCCTGCAGAGACACTAGAAGTGAAGCTTGCCATCAGCCTGGGGCTCCTATGTAAGCACTGGGACTCATTATGAGCCCAGGGTTCCCAAATCAGCCCTGGGGTGCTCTGTGTGTTGGGATTCCCAGCTCAGCATTATGGCTCACCATGTTCCGAGGCTCCCACCTCAGCGCTGGGATGCGCTGTGCTTTGTGGCTCCCAAATCAACATCTGGGTACATCAGGGCTCCCGAATCTCCACTGGGGCTCACCATGAGCCCAGGGCTCCCAGATCAGCACTGGATCTCACAGTGCCTTGGGGATCCTTCAGTGACACCACAAGTGGGGCTTACCATGAGCCTGAGGCTCCCAAATTGGCACCAGGATGTAGCGTGCACCAGGGCTCCCAACATCTGCATCAGTGCAAGCTGTGCCTCGAGGCTCCAAAATCCACGCTGAGTGGTGTCATGGCTCCCAAATCAGCATCACGTCATGGCTCCCAAATCAGCACTGGGGCTCCCACACCGGCACCAGCACTGGGAATGGCAGCGAGCCTGGGCTCCTAAATGAGCACAGGGGCTCCCTTTGAGCCCAAGATTCCCAGATCCGCATTAGGGCTCGCCGTGCCCCGATACCCCCTGATATCACCGGGACTCTCCGGCAGCAGGAGGACCCACGCTCAGCACCGGGACGCTCGGCTCGTCGGGGCTCCCAGCCCGGCAGCGGGATGCGCCGTGCGTCGTGGCTCCCCGACCGGCGCCGGGGGTCTCCGCGCCCCCACGCTCCCATCACCGGAGCCCCTGGCCGCCCCTCCCGCCCCTCCCGCCCCTTCCCCGCCACCCCCGGTTGCGCGGACCCCCTGGAACCGCAGCCCGGCCCCGGGGCGGAGCGGGGCGGGGCGTCGCGGGCGGCGGGCGGGCGGCGACGGCATTCGGGCGGCGGCAGAGGGATGAACGGGACGGGCCGGGAGCCGTGCGGGCACGGAGAGGCGCTGGCGGCCGGCGCTCGGCCGCTGGTCAGCGCGCTGATGTTCTCCGCGGGGCTGCTGGGCAACCTGCTGGCCCTGGGGCTGCTGCTGCGCTGCCGCCGCCCGCCCCGCGCCCGCGCGCCTTCCCTGTTCCACGTCCTGGTGCTGGCCCTGGTGGTCACCGACCTGCTGGGCACCTGCTCCGTCAGCCCCCTGGTGCTGGCCTCCTACCACCGCAACCTGACGCTGAACGCCCTGGGGCGGGGAGGGCACATCTGCCTCTACTTCGGCTTCGCCATGAGTTTCTTCGGCCTCGCCACCATGCTCGTCCTCTTCGCCATGGCGCTGGAGCGCTGCCTGGCCCTGGGGCGGCCCTACTTCTACGAGCGCTTCCTCAGCCCCCGCGCCGGCCTGGTGGCCCTCCCGGCCATCTACACCTTCTCAGCAGCCTTCTGCTCCTTGCCTCTGCTGGGCTTCGGGCGCTACGTGCAGTACTGCCCCGGCACCTGGTGCTTCATCCAGATGCGCGTGGACGACGGCCGGCACAAGGCAGCCGGTTTGCACCTCACCTTCTCGTTGCTTTACGCCACTTTACTCCTCTTCCTCATCCTGTCGGTGCTGCTGTGTAACCTCAGTGTCATCGCCAACCTGGCCCGCATGCATCGCCGCGGGCAGAGGACGCGCCGGCTGGCTGCGCTCGAGCAGCCGCGGGCGGTGGGGGGCTGCAGCCGCCGCATCTTCTCCATGGCCGAGGAGATCGACCACCTCCTGCTCCTCGCCATCATGACCATCACCTTCGTCATCTGCTCCTTGCCCTTCACGGTGAGTGCCGCCCCCTCTCCCCGTTTCCCAGAATCGCAGACTCATAGACTTGTAGAATTGTGGAATCGTAGAACGGTTGGGTTGGAAGGGACTTTAAAGATCATCCATTTCCAAGCCCTGCCGTGGGCTGGGTGCCCCCCAGCTCAGGCTGCCCATCCACGGCCTCGGGCATCTCCAAGGATGGGGCACCCACAGCACTCCATGCTGCTGCCCAAAATTTAAGGGCTGAGATCAACGTGATTTTTCTCCCAAAACTTGGGAGACCCCAAACTTTTGGCAATCGAAGCGAGGGATTCCCAGCAGCAGCAGCGGGATGAGCGGATGGCAGCAGTGCCCTCCCACCCTGCAGAGGCACACCGGTGTCTCTTGGACCAAATGGTTCCCAAGCCCAAGGGCTGGGCGCTCATTGTGGCAGATCAAGGAGCTGGACGTGGGAAGATGGCGTAGGGATTGGGTTGGGATTGGGGTTGGGGATGGGGATGGGGTTGGGGTTGGAGATGAGGTTGGGGATGGGGATGAGAATAGGGTTGGGGGTTAAGGATGCAGATGAGGAAAAGATCTCTGTGCTGGTCTGGATGAGGATGTCACGTATCAGTGCTGCATAAGCAGACCCTGCACCACTCTCCCCAATCTTGGGGCTGCTTTCAGCTCCCCCA